AACAGTTGAGCGATTACTTTATACTCTGTATTACTATATAGAGATACTACGACCAAGACAGTCAAGAGCTTGCTTCTAAAGAAGTTTAAAGACTGGTGGTGGGGATAAGGGTAGAAATAATAAAGTAAAATATTTTCAGAAAGCACTGAGTGCTCTGAAGACAATAATGAAATAAGGTAAGTGCAGAGGGAAGCACAGCTTCATAAAGCGGCTTTTTCTAACCCTATTCCTTCCCCCCATGGACATAACCACTGTATTGGTCTTTATCATTCTCTTGCTTTTCTTTATATTTTTGCTGTATATCAATAAACTATTTAGCATTGTTTTGCATATTTTAAATTTTATATGAATGGTATCACTGATCTTATCTTTCTGTAATATTATGTTTATTTCATTCAGTATTATTTTTCTGAGGTTCATTCATATTAATCATGTGGCTATATGTTTTCATTTTAACTGTTATTTGGTATTCCATTCATTATCTGAATATCTCATAAACAACTTGGGTTGTTTATAATATTTTGCAGTTACAGTTGCTGCAAATGAAAATTATCTTATTTTCTTGTGCATATTGTGCGAGTTCCTCTTGGCATGGTTTTCCAACTCTTGTCATGCCCACAATAATACATTTTACATTCTGATCTAGAATACACAAATGCATATGTAACTGAAATAACACTTTCTCATGAAGTAATAACTCACCCCTACTACAAGCGACACATGCTCTGATATGTTCTAGTCTCCTTCACTTTACGCCATTTTACTAAAAACAAATAAGCTACCCATGAGCCACCAAAAGGCGGAAACCTGCAATTTAAAAAACACTGCGTGAGGGGTATCCAGGAGGAATGGGAGGGCAAAGACAGGAACATTTTCAATTTTGCTAGATATTCCAAATGTATTTCCAAATCGTACGTTAGTTTACATTCCCACAAGCAGTGTACCAGAGTGCCTGTTGAGGGCCGGCCGAGTGGCTCAGTTGGTTAAGAGCTTGCTCAAGAGTTTGAGCTCTAAGCAACAGCGGTCAGATGCCCAGCCCGAGCTGAGCAGCCGCTGAGTTGCCAACAGGTGGCAGGATGACTCAGTTTAAAAAAAAAAAAAAAAAAGAAAGAAAGAAAGAAACCAGAGTACCTGTTGATTCTCATCCTTACCACATTTGGTATTGTCAATCATTTTTTGTTTTTGCCAGTTGGATGGTATGAAGTAGTTTCTTACTGTTGGTTTAATTTGCTTCACTCTACTAGCTAGAGGTTCCAACCATTGCAGGAAGACAAGATAGAGCACCATTTCAGATCTTTATTGACTATTCGTTTTTCTTCTTTTGAGTATTTCTTGTTTATACCTTTGTCCATTTTTCAACTGGGTTGTCTTTTTTTCTTATTGGCTTGTAAGAGTTATTGAGATATATATGTATGTATATTTTTTAAAATTCTTCTTGGTAATATACATTGCAGTTATCTTCTCCCAGTTTTTTTCCCACTCCCTCCCCCAATTTTTTGTTATTTCTTTTGTCCATAGAAGTTTTGATTTCTATTATTGTAAAATTTATCAGTCTCTTACCTTACTGTTTATCCTTTTGGCATGTCTAAGAAATTCTTAACCCTGAGTTTATAAATACTCTCCAATCATTTATTGTAGAAGTTATAAAGTTATTTTTGTTTTTGTTTTATTAATGTTGTTGTTTTACATTTAGGCCTTTACGTTTTTTTTTTGCAACTGGTGTGATGTAGGGACCTAGTCGTTATTTTTCTGTACAGACATGCAGTTGTCCCAGCACCATCCTTGTAATAGTCCGTCCTATTTCCTGCCTCTGTCTTCTGCCACAGGAGGGTGCCTGTGAACTCTTAATTCAGCTGTGTTGGTTTCTCTATCCCAGCCAGTTTCACACTGTCTTAATGACTATAGCTTGAGAGTAGCTTTAGAGTAACTATTAATATTTGGTAGGATGAGTTGGCCCACACCTTCTTAAAATCTTCAAAATTGTTCTGGCTATTTTTTGGCCTTCTGCACTTTCATTTAAATTTTAAGATCAGTTTATTAAGTTTCACAAAAATTCCTACTGGGATTTTTATTTGAATTGCATTGAATTTACAAATAAATTAATTTAATTAAGCGGCATTATTCATAATATCCTAAAACTGGAAATAGCCCAAATATCCATTAGAAGGATAATGGATAAACTGTGGTTGATTCATACTCTGGAATATTACTCAGCAACGAAAGGAACAAACTATTGATACATGTAACAATGTGGATGAATCTCAAAAACATTCTCAGTGAAAGAAACCTTACAAAAGAAGTATATACTATATGATTCCATTTACTTGAAGCAGTAGATAAACAAAAATAATGTAGGGTTTAAAAAAAAAAAGAGAATTGTGGGTACGTTTGAGAGGATAGGAACTGACTGGGAAGGGGCATGAGAGAACTTTCTATAGTGATGGTATTATTATATATCTTAATTAGGGGATTGGGTTTCACGGGTGTACACATTTTTTTCAAAATTTATTCAATGTACACTTTTAAGATTTTTAAATTTCATTATGTAAATTTTATCTCAAGAAAAAAATTCTAAACAAGTACTGAACTCTAGCTAATGATATTCCTACCAAAGTATTTAGGAGGATCATACTGTTGACTTTGAAATGCATCAAAAAATTTCTTTTTAAAAATGTAGGTTAATGAGTGGGCAGAAAGATGGATAGGTACACATAGCAAAATGTTAATGGTAGCATCTAGGTGGTAGATATATGAATGTTCAGTGTAAAATTATTTCAACATTGCTATATATTTAAAAGTTTTAATAATAAAATGTTGAACTCCTACAACCCAATAGTATAAAAACAAATTACCTGATTAAAAAATGGACAAATGGGGCGGCCAGTTAGCTCAGTTGGTTAGAGCACAGTGTTCATGACACCATAGTTGCCAGTTCAATCCCCACATGGGCCACTGAGCTGTGCCCTCCACAACTAGATTGGAACAACTACTTGACTTGGAGCTGATGGGTCCTGGAAAAAAACACTGTTACCCAATTTAAAAAAAAAAAAAGAAAAAAAAAGCCCTTAAAAAAAAATGGACAAAGGACTTGAGTAGACATCTTCTTACAGAATACATACAAATAAATGGCCAATAGGTACATGAAGAATGCCCAACATCACTAATCATCAGGAAAATGCAAATCAAAACCACAGTGAGATACCACTTCACACTTGTTAGGATGGCTATTATAAAAATATAAAAAGGTAAGTATTGGTGAGGATGTGGAGAAATTAGAACCCTTGTATGCTGTCAGTTAGGAATGTAACATGGTGCAACTTCTATGGAAACCAATATGAAAGTTCCTCAAAAAATAAAAAATAGAACTACCATATGATTCAGCAATTCCATTTCTGGATATTTATTCAAAAGAATTGAAATCAGTATCTTGTAGAGATATTTGTACTCCCATGTTCATTGCAGCATTATTCACAATTGCCAAGAGGTGGAAATAACCTAAATGTCCACTGACAGATGAATAAAGAAAGAAAATGTGGTGTACACCTACCTACACAATAGAATAGTATTCAGCTTTAGAAGAAGGAAATCTGCCGTATGCGACAACATGGGTGAACCTTGAGGGCATTATGTTAAGTGAAATAAGCCAGTTACAGAAGGACAGATACAGCATGGTTCCACTTATATGTAAGAGCCATCTAAACTAGTCAGTCATAGAAGCAGAGAGTAGAATGGTGGTTGTCAGGGGATGGGGAGTGGAAATGGGGAGTTGCTATTGAATGGGAACAAAGTTTCAATTATGCAAGATGAGTAAGTTCTAGGGATCTGCTATCCTCCCTTGTGCCTATGTTTAACAATTCTGTATTACACACCTAAACATTTAAGACATATCTCATGCTAAATGCTCTTACCACAATATTAAAATATAAAATGTTGGAAAATAATGTGTCGCTAAGATTTTTTTCCCTCTTCTCAGCTGTTTATGATGGAAAGGAGGGTAAAAAGCCTTCATTTGTTTGTTGACTTGCTTGGGGGTTCTTTAGAAGGTTTATTTAAGTCAGACAGATTAGACTACTAAACAACATGTAGAGAGGCTCATTGAGATTTTCCAGGAAGGCTTGTTTTAACTGAGCCACTGAGAACATAGATAACGTATATGCCAGTATAAATGTGAACAATTAAACTTAATTTTTATTTAAGTCTTCTACAGTGTTCACAAATAAGGATAAAGGTGTATCATCTGTTTAAAAAAAAAAAGTCTTTGATATGTTGAGATTCCATGAATCAGAGACTCCAGTAGTTCCTTAGGGTCTGCCCTATATTTTAGTCATTCATTTCAGGGCAAGGCAAACCAACTTTTCATTCACATTTTTTCCCCTTGAGTGGGACAGTTTTCATCTCTTTCCCGCCAGGATGTTTTCATCAACTTGACCTTGTGGTCAACAACTCGATTTGGGGTACAATTTTCTGACATACAAGAAAAAGTTTTCAAATAAAGATGGTATTCTTCCAGATATCCCTCTTAGAACTGGTGTTGTTGTTGGAGTTCTAAGTAGGAGTGATTATCTCTGAGTTCCTTAACTTGGCTGTGTCTTGGAGTAATGGAAAGAGAGGCACAGGGATGGAGATTAAATTTGAGATTTGTAAATCTTTTGTTTTGGTAAGCTCTTCCTCTCAACGCTGCAATCTCATCTAGCACCTCTGAGAATATGGCCTGACTATGGGCATGAAGACAAAACAAAACAAATTCAGAAAATTCAAACTGGTATGTGATGGGGAGGTGTAAGCCATTCACTTTTTAAAACGATTTATTGTAAGTTTCATTGGCAAATTAAAATATTCATGTTGAACAATAGTGACAGATATTGACAATATCAGAACATTCTACATTTATTGATAACGTATTAGGAAATAAATGCTACCTTTTTTGTACCTTTACTTGTGTTCTATCTTGTATAGTTAACCAGCTCTGCCTAATCTCAGCACACACATTATTATTCCAGGTCCTGTGGGAATGGCTGCTGCTGCTGCTGTGGCAACAGGAAAAAAACGGAAACGGCCTCATGTGTTTGAGTCTAATCCATCTATCCGGAAGAGACAGCAAACACGTTTGCTTCGGTGAGGGCTTCATTATCCATATTGTCGTTATTTCTCAAATATTTCATGGTATGGATGACAGAGTTAGAACAAATGTTATTAGTGTCACTAAGGATACCAAGGTAGAAAGCACTCTTACAAAATTAAATAAATGCAACTAGTAGAAATGTGATTAACAGATGTATAATATCACATTGATTAATTCAGAAAATTTATATGCCTGCTTTGTGTGAGGCATCGTTCTAGGCCTCAAGGATATAGCAATGAATGAAACAGATTCCCTTAAAGAGCTTATTTTCTAGAGAAGGGGGAAAAAAAAAGCAAATACGTAATGTCAGGATATGATAGGTGCTGTGGACAAAAATAAAGAGGAGTAAAGAAAATAGAAAGGTTAGGGGATTGGGAGAATATATAGTTTCTCTTTTATTGTAGGGATGGGCTGAGAAATCCTCTTTGATAAGGCAACCTTTGAAAAGGAACCTGAAGTAAGGGAAGGGCACCTGTGTTAATGTCTAGGGGAAGAGCTTTTCCCCTAGGGAAATAGGGAATAGCAAGAGGAAAGATTCTGAAGTGGGAAGGAATGTGTTTGAGGACTAGCTAAGGAGAGAATGGGAGGCAATCGACATGGTTAGAGTGGTAGTGGAAAGCCATATCATGGGCTTTTTGGGTCCAATATAAGGGCTTTGACCTTTACTCTGAGTGAGGTGGGAAGTCAGTGAAGGCTTTTGACCAAAGCAATGATATGATCTGGCTTACGTTTTGAAATGGTCACTAGTATTGAGACTAGACTCTGGGGTACAAGAATAGAAACAGGGAAAACAGGAGGTTGCTATAGTAATCCAGACCAGAAATGACAGTATCTTAAAACCAGTGTAACAAAAGTGGTCAGAAGTGATCAGGTTCTGGGTGTATTTCAGAAGTCAGCTCCAGCATGATTCACTGATGGACAGGATGTGGGGTCTGAGACAAAAAATGGACCAAAGGGTGACCTCAAGGTGTTTTGATCTGATTACTAGAAGGCCTGAGATGATACTTATTGGAAGAAGAGCAGGTACAGGAGTGAGGGTAGGGCAGAATCAGGAATTTGGTTTTGGACATGTTAAGTTTGTGATACTTCTTAACCATTAAGTAGAGATACAGAATAAACAGTTGAATGTATGAGTCTAGAATTCAAAGGAAAGATCTTGGCTGAAGATATAAGTATATAGGTAGTATTTAAAACTATGAGACTGGAAGAGATCATCTAGGGAGTAAGCGTGGACTTAGGCCTGAAGCACAGTACCCTTTAGAGGTTGGAGAGATGAAAGGAACTAGAAAGGAGCCCAGAACGAGACCAGTAAGTCAGGAGGAAAGGCAAGAGAATGGTGTCCTGGAAACCAAGTATAAAAAGTATTTCAAGAAAGAGGGCGTGTGATCAGCTCTGTCAAATGCTGCTGACAGCTTGAATAAGATGCAAATTGACCATTAGATTTAGCAAGATGGAGGTCATGCTTGAACTTGACAACATTTTCAAAGGAGTGGTAAGGATGAAAGGGTTGGAGTGTCTTCAAGAGAAAATAGGAAGAGAGGAATTGGAGACAGTGAATATAATATAGATCATTCCTTCAAGGAATGCTGCCAGATTTCTTCTTTTGTATGTGGTCCTTTTCTCATTTATATTTCTGAAGAGAAGGATTTGTAGGTTGCAAAGAAAGGTTAGTATGTAGGTGTGGTATGTGGAGAACTTAATGTTTTGACAGGTTGTGCAACATGTATGCATATATAATAAGAAATTTAGTCTATAAAATGTTCCAGAAGTTTTTCTTGTAGTGTTTTAAAGACTAGATCCAAATTTTCTAGAAGTTGACTGGAATGTTGATTCCAAATGGAGTGCCTGTCTATGTAAATGATATGTGACAAAAGCTAGAAAATATAGTCCCAATTAAGAAAAGAAGATTTTAAGAAACGGAAGGAGGAGCATTTTCTCAATCCATTGAGATTTTTTTTGCTTCCTGGCAGTTGTCATCAGTTTGGCTCCAATAAACTCTTATAAGACTTAAAAAAAAAAAAAAAAAGAAAGAAAGAAAAGAAAAGAAACTGAAGGTACTTAACAGTAGCTTTCAGCAAACAAAGAAGTCATATATCACACGTGGGCAGTTATTCTCATTTCCTTTATAATAGTATAGGCAGAAGAAATTAGAATGTATTATTCATAGAAATATATTTGCTATAAGAGACATAGACACAACAGTATATGCTTTTGGAGAAAGATGGAAAACGTTTATTTTAGATAGATTGGCTTTGTTTCCTTTGAATTGGCATGACTCACCAGTCCCTAGACTACGTTCACCGAAGAATTATGGGATGCAGAACTTTAAAATAATCTCCCCTGATTTCACAGGTATAAGGACAGCATTTCTATTTCATCCAGTCTTGACATATTTGAAAAAGCTCTTACTCCATCCTCATTTGTGGTCCGTTTCTCATTTAGTGTTTATATCACACGAAAATCTGGAAACAACAACATTTTTAAAGTAGTGTTTTTGGATAAAATTGTGTCAGTGAGACAAACAATGACCATATCAAAGAAATTAGAAGCAGGTCATTTAAGGCCCCTTCATTAAGCATGGAGATGATATAATAAAGTCTGTAAGAGGACATCTCAGCAGTAATCTTCATTATAAATAGCAGTCAGAAAAAGTCCCTTTGGTGTCGATAAGATCAGGAAGGTGATATTTGCCCTGTCAGCACTGTGTCATGGCTACGTCCTAAGGTAAACCTGTAGTAGACCCTTCTGTCAGTGGGCTAGTCATCGGTCTTTGGGACAGCGGATTGCTACTGAGCAGAATATCAAACCCCACACTCCCCTTTCCACATTTCAGGTGAAAGGAAACGTATTCAATCAGAATAAATTGTCTCAAGCCAAAGTAAATTTTGTGTCTGTGTCACTGTAATTTTTATCTTTTATAACTGATTTTATCCTCTTTTTGTTCTCTGATTCAGGAAACTTCGAGCCACATTAGATGAATATACTACTCGAGTGGGACAGCAAGCTATTGTCCTCTGTATCTCACCCTCCAAACCCAACCCTGTCTTTAAAGTGTTCGGAGCAGCACCTTTGGAGAATGTGGTAAGAAACCTGAGCTATGTTCTCAGATGCCCTTTGCTTTCTGTGGGTCGTTCGCATTCTTGCGATCTTCTGCCTAGCATAATGGTTATTACTTCTATCCTCCTCTCATCCAGGGGTGGGAGTGCGGTGTGGGGTTTTGAAACTACTTTGTGCAGATCAAAATAGAAAGGATCTTCATCTTACCAACTTTAACTCATGTTTAAGAACTCAGCTCAGTTGACACTTCCTCCTTGGAGCCTTCTCTGATTTTCTGCACAGGTCAAAGCCCCTTGTTCTATCCAAGACTCACAGCACCTCTTAGCACTTATTACAAATGCACTTTTGTTTACTTATTGGTGTGATTATTTGGTTAATGTTGTCCCCAGCTAGATGGTAAGCTCTAAGCGGCAGGGACTGGGTCTACTTTGTTCTCCTTGATGCTCCCAGAGCCAAACACAGTGCCTGCCGTGAGTAGTTGCTCAGTAATATTTGTTGAATGAATAAAGCATCTTAAACATTTGGCAACATTCAGAAATTCAAAAATGCAGATTTGATTTCTAAATCCTAATCGTACATTATATCTCAATGGAGACTTTGAGAAATAAAGCTCTATGAAGTCAAGTTAGATTGTGTCATTCTTTATAGTACTTGTCCCAGTTTGTAATTATACATTTATTTTAGTGATTAGCTTTGTGTTTGTCTTCTCCACTAGATTGGAATATGCACAATAAGGGGACACTGTGACTGATAAATTTGCTTACCATTTTGTCCCCTCCCTTCCTTAGCACAGTGCTTAGCACACGGTAGATGAGTAATAAACATTTGTTGGATGGATGGCTAGATGGAGAAGCTACTAGGTGCAAAGGTTACATATGCTATGTCTGCATTTATAACTTGGAGTAGTGAGATAGCTTAAAACTAGGTAAGCTCGCAGAAAGACTATGACTAAAGTCTTTGAGTATGACGGAAAACAAAATGTCCTAACCCCAAAACTCAAGATTTCTTGGGACCTACTACCTTCAGATCCAATGTCTTCTGCGGTTTAAAGCCTTTTGCTTTTTTAAGCTTCTGCTCTTTAAAACAAAGCAGGTTAAAAAACCTTCAGAACAACCCCATTGAGTGTTTTGGTCCTTTTGACTATCATTCTTAGCAAAGGTGTAGCTCCCATAAGAAGACATAGTTCTCAACATTTAAATAGGCTGATTCAGCCCTGCCCGTGGGTTGGTATTAAATAGAGTGGGCATATGTAGCTAAAAACTCCACTTGTGTGAAAGCCGTTTTTAAGCTTTGATATTTTTTTTTTAGTGTTTCCCCACATTGATTTTTCCTATTTGTGGCTCAGGATCCTCATGTGTAAAATAAAGATAATACTCACTTCACTGGGGAGCAGTAAAACTGATTAATGTTGATTATCATCCCCCTATATATAATGTTCTCAGAAAGCTGGCGTGAAAAGCTTTGGCAAATGATAGATTTTAAAGTTGCTCTGTTCTGAGGGCATTGTCTTGGTGGCTTACTGCCATATCACGTACTTTTATGAGCTTTATAAGAATAAGCGTAGATATATTTTGTTGAGGGACAGAGAGAAAATAATCTTTTTTTTTTCCCCAGAAGAACCGTGGTAGTTTCTGAAGATACAGTTCTTTCCTCAGTCAATAATCTATAGCATTTAGATATGGATACACTGGATATGACTAACCAGTTCTGCAGGTACAGAAATTAGTCAGTCACAGAGGCAAGAGATAGCTTTGGGTTATCACCAACTTCTTTGAAATCATCCTTACTCTTTTTTTAAATCCACCTTCCCAGTATATAAGTGGACTCTGAGGTCTGTTGTGATTTTTTGCTTTTAAGTCATTCAGTTTTATATAGGGTTTTTTTGTTTTGTTTTGTTTTGTTTAATTTTTTTTATTGGGGAACAGCCATGGTCATTGATTACACATTGCTTTCATGCTACAATGGCATAGTTGACTCTTTAAAGGAGAACACAGCTCACAGTGGCCCATGCGGGGATCGAACCGGCAGACTTGTTAAGAGCGCATGCCCTATCTACTGAGCCATCCGGGTGGCAGCTCAGCTCAAGGTGCCGAGTTCAGTCTTAGTTATGGGTGGGCGTAGCCCACCATCGAATAGGCAATCTTGTTGTTACACCAGCTGAGCCGTCCTGCCACCTGTTGGCAGCTCAGCGACAGCTCAGTTTGGGTGCAGCATCACTGGCCCATGTGGGAATCGAACTGGCGGCCCTGTTGCTCAGAGCTCATGCTCTTAAGCCAACTCTTAACCAACTGAGCCGCTCGGCTGGCCCTATATAGGTTTTTAAGAATGGCTTCAACTTAATGAAGTGTGGAGGTATACTTAAGAAGTAGTGCAGTAAAAGCCCTAATGTTTATTTACTTATTTATTTTGTTTTTAAATGGTTTTTAACTTTAATTGTGAAACCAGTTAGTTGACAGTGACGTATTGGTGTGAAATGACAAAGACTTAAGCTGTGGTTTGGGAAATAGAAGGTAGAAAGAGGTTGGAAAACAAACAAACCTGTATTTCATCATATTTATGACATCATCAATTATAAAATGCACCATTATTTATGTACGTACCACAAAAAAAGAAAAATATTGACAAACTGACACAGTTCTTATCACTTTAGAATTTTTATTTTATTTTATTGAAAGCGCTCTTTCGGGCTTCCTGGGAGATTTTAATCATAATTGCTTTTGTATATACATAAAAAGGAAAATGTAAGTGAAATAACTGATATTCCTAAAACTTCACATTGAGAGTTCAACTCTTTTGAATTACTTTTTGTTCGAAAGTCATCAGTGTCTGTGGTTTCCTGGAATATTGCCCACCATACCATCAAGAGCATGGGTGGTGCTGCATTTCTGTAAAAAGTGCTCTGCTGTTGTCTCTGAGACATTGTACCAAGCTGTGACAAATTTGCTGCTGGTGCTTCTTGGTCTTACCAGAAAGATCACTGGGGAGGTTATCAGACAACAAAGACCACGTTCCTTTCTCAAAAGATGCTAAATGGTTTGCTGATTGAAGAGGCAGGAGCTGTAGTCATGCCCCAGGGATAACAGCCATGCTCACATGTGTGTGGACGATGACACTATGCCCCATGTTGCCTGGTCCACAGCAATTTTAAATTGCATCCCAATTTCAGACGACTGATAAATGTGAAAAAAATGCACCTCAGAATTGATAGATGAGATGGAATTGAAGCACTAGCTTCATAATTCTGGGAAAGTTACTTTACTAAGCAAGGTTAGAAATACTGTGGTCACACCTGAAGCTGTTTTGTTGTAAATTACTCCAAGGGATGTTCTACCAGCATTTTCTTTTGAAACGCAAGATATTTTTTAAGGAATTATATATAGCACAGATAAGTTTAGCAAAATGCCTGGATATGAATTCCTAGAATTTACTGACCCATGAAAATAGGTGAAATTATTTGAAACTAGCTAATAATGTAATGGTGATAACCTAATGATTGCTCATCTTTGAATGCCAGGTGTTCCCAGCACAATGGAATTTATTTTATATTATTATCATACACTTACTATATGAACATACGTACTAATGTGATGATTTAACCTGATATATTAAAGTTCAAAGACCAGAACCTAGGCTTGTAAAATTCAGTTTTTCTATGGGTTGGTAGTGTAAAAGCTCTACATAGGATACAGAAACCTAGAAAGCAGAAAATCTAAACCTGTAAAGTTGCCATGGCAACACCAACTGTTTATGTTTCAAAAAGATATTGGGGGCGGCCGGGTGACTCATGTGGTTAGAGCTCTTAACAACAAGGTTGCCGCGACTCCCATTTGGGATGGTGAGCTGCTCCCTCCACAACTAAGGCTGAAGGATAGGGAAAAACACACTGCTCCCCATCAAAATTTAAAAATATATATGTGTGTGTGTGTGTGTGTATGCAACAATTTTTGAAACTTTTCTTTTTGTTAGAAACCAGGAGAACACTGAGTATCTAGAGTGATGGTGATTCTACATGTTTGCACTTTTTCTTTATCCCCTTCGTTGGTGGCCTATTTGGAAGATTCTGTAACTGCAAAAGTTGAACTTTGGGGCCAATAATAATTTTTACTTTTCCACGTGCTTGAGGTGGAGTGTGGGAATCTTTCTTTTTAAATCCTCATAATGAGATACTTCTAAGGAAGTGTGTCCTGATTGAGAGTCCAGTCCACTTAAGCAGAAAACCCAAGACTCAAACATTGTTGTATCTTCTGGGCAAACCTCGTTTTCTCTTCCCTTTTTTTTTTGTAAGATAATGCCTTGAGCCCTGAACGCAAGTTAATTTCCTATCCCATCTTGTAACATTTTCATAATTCCATGGCTTCTTTGTTATCCCCAAAGGTTTCCTCATACCCCTTGTGTATGCTATTAAGTGAATGAACCCATTATTGGTTGTAGGATCCAGTGTCTCTCGCCTGTTTCTGCTCATGATGGAAGAATGTGCATGTACTTATGTGCTGCTGTTAAGTTCTGTCTTTTGAGAGAACTTTCACCAGCAGTGGGAGGAATGGAGTCAGAACAACAATATCTGGTTCAGACCTGGCTTGTCAGAGTCACAGAGGCAGCATGGGTTTGAAGGTCACCTTCCAGGGAGTACCAGGAAGGAGGAGGACTTGAGCTGTGGGGCTCTGGCCACCCAGCTACAGTATACACCTCTTGTTGTTTTTCTCTGATGCCTCTCAGTCCAGCCTCTGTGCACTTGAAGCTCCAGTCTCTTCAGTAATCTGGCACTGCAGAAAAGTGTCTGTAGTTTCGAATACGTTACTTAGAGTCTTGAAAATGATTTCGGTCATTAACTGCCACATCTAGGTTTTATCCAGTGGTCTGGGAAAGGCCGAATAATGGGTGCTATTCCTATTAGATTCAGAACAGGTGACGATGGGGCCAGCATTGACAGAAACCCTGATTTTAACTGAAGCAGTGTATCTGTAAAGCTTTTCTCACTGGCTCCTTTTCTACTGTTGTTACCAGTAATTTCATCATCTTTTCATTTAAGGTGATGTCTTTGGGGCCAGTGGGTATTTTTATCTGCTGTTCTAGAAGCGACGGTTCTAAGGGCTCTGTAATGGCTGAGGGAGGCTGGCCCCACCCAGTCTCTGGTTGCTTGGCACCGACCCTCCCTGGTTGTCGGGCATCTTGTTTACTTCTGCCCTTAATTCCCTGCAGGTGCGTAAGTACAAGAGCATGATCCTGGAAGACCTGGAGTCTGCCCTGGCAGAACACGCCCCCGTACCACAGGAGGTTAACTCCGAGCTGCCGCCTCTCACCATCGACGGAATCCCAGTCTCTGTGGACAAAATGACCCAGGTAAGGGGCGGGAAGGGAGGAGGAGGCGCAGGTGCGGGCGGGCCTCAGGTCCCTTTTCTTAGTTTTGTCCTCAGTGGCACCTTGAGAATGAGATGCAGGCTGGGGTCTGAGAGTGAAACAGGAACCCCTTGGAAACAAAAACGTGCTCCCACCGAGGGCATGTGCCCTCCTCCTCCTGTTGGCAGTTTATTCCTTTCACCTGGGCCCTTGGGTTAGGTCAAGAAACCTTTAGCCTGGAGTTGGTTTGGAAAGGAGGCTGTTAGGCCTGTGATGAGTCACAAGTGGGGCAAGTTAACATTTAGCCTCTTCAGGGCCGAGCTGCTCCTCTCTCCAGGTCAATTCTGAATACCAACCACCACGCTGCTGCCAAGGAAGGCGCCCCTCTTTCGGGAGTGGGGATGGAAAATTCAGGACACCTTCCTGAGTCACTGCCTCTCTCCTCCTCAGAGAAGGGAAATCGGAACGTATTCAGCCCGATAAACCGGCAAACCTCTGGAATTTGCTGAGACTTTTTGAAAATTTTTTAGCTTGAAAAGTGATAGCTTAATCAAAAGCAAATGCCTTTTCTTCAGTTGAAGAACTAGTTATTAATGAAGAAGTTGCATAATGTTTTCTTTTTTAAAGATTTTTTATTGTGGAATTGGGGGATGGGAGCAGCACTGGGGAATTGGGGGAAGGGGAACAGCCAAGTTGCTGTCCTTTTGTTCTTCAGTCTAGTTGTGGAGGACGTTGCTCCACTGGCCCAAGTTGGCACCATCATTGCGCTCTTCCCGGGCGAGGCAGATCAGTCGCCGGCTTCTGGACAGCCGCTCACTGCGGCTGCTGGCCACTCACGCTGGCTGCTGGCTACACACGGTAGCCCATGGCAACCCACTGCCACAGGGGCTGCAGCCTACGCCGTCGCCGGTGACTCACGGCAGCCCAGCTCCAAGTTGAGCTGTTGTTCAGCATCTTAGCTGTGGAGGGCAGTGTCACTGGCCCTCATATGTGGGATCCGAACTGGGGCCCTCTGGCGTCCCAAGCCAGCTCTTAACCAATGCGCCACTCGGCCGGCACGCATAATGTTTTTAACACAAGACAGAGACATTTGAAAACAACATACGTCTTCCCTTAAAAAAAAAAAACAACTGATTTCAGCATTTTCAATATTATAAAGTTTAGTCTTCTAGGAGCTCTCTTAAAAACGCTTTCTTACTGATTTCAGATAAGTCCCTGTTTGTTTTTAATGGGAGGCAGTGTTACTAATCTAAAGTGTTAATTTGTTAAGAAATTCTTTTCTCAGAAATTTTGTCCCTCCTTCTAAGTACTATTGTGCTATAGTTAGTGTCTTTGTGTAATTACTTATAATTTGACCTGTGTTATAAAAGTCTATATTTAAGATGCAGTAAATGAAGGACAGATGTTTAAAACTTTGGGCTTACAATGAAGTTATAAATATTGCTAGCTCGGTAAAGTCTGTGATTAAATCTAGTCTGTTTATGCAATAAGGGTATTTGCATAGCTGGCCAGGCACCAAAAATAACTGTCCTATGCTAATATTAATTCAAAATCATTATTCATTAGAAGCACCATAGGTACAGTCATGTTTAAGTATCTAAAGGCCAGGTTAAGTGTATGCCTAGACTACAAATGAATCAACTATATCAATCAATTTCTCTTTGATTAGTAAACACTGTAAATTATTGAAATAATTCACAGTTTATTCGCTTGTGACCTCTGACAAATGATCGCCTCACTCTCTCCTGCCTAAAACATGCAGCTGTCCTCTGATAGACTTAAGGTTTCTGAAAATATTTGTACATCAGGACACAGGTTTCTTCAGTTTATCCCTTATTTCTTCCACTGTCTAACATATTCATGGGAATGGTTATTCAAATCTCTTCATGGAACCGTGCAGTAAATGCCTTGTTTTACAACATATTTTCCCACCTTATTTCTTTATTAATGTGCTTTATCTGGCAATATCCAGTTGTGAGTTTTCTTTGCTTGCTGGTCTTCCGGTTGGTTACTCCTTCCTTCTCTCCGTTTCTGTGCCCCACACTCTTGAATGTCCTCCTACTGCACTGGACCCTCCCTTTCAGCTCTTCTGCGCTCTCCTCTTCCTCTCTGACCCGATCAATACTGGCCTGTCTCCGGGGTCTATCTTTAGTTTCTCTCCAAGTGATCTCATCCTGTCCTGTGGGCTTTGTGTCCCATCTATATGCTGTTTACACCCCAGCTTATACATTAGATATTCAGTACTAACGTGCCCCAAACAGCGCCTGCGATTGCCGGTGTCCCGTCCCCCCCCCCCCCCCCCCCCCCGTTTCACTCCAAGCCTGGTCCTCTCCTCGTATTCCCCATGTCACTCAGGGGCACCCCCGTCCATCTTGCTGTTCAAGTCCCAGCCTAGGAGTAATCTTTGATTTCTCTGTTTTGCCCTCGCTGCCCCACCAGCCATGTCTAATCCATTAGCAAGTCATGTCAGTTCGCCTCTGAAATGTACCCCGGATCTGACTGGGCTTCTCACTTCCCATCACCACCCTAGCCCAAGCCTTCAGCATCTGTCACATGGACTATTTCAGTTGATCAGATCTATTGATCTCCTTACTGCCACTCTTGTTCTGCTACAGTCCATGGTCCACAGAGCCACCAGAGACTTTTGAAAAACTTAAGTCAGGTCATGTCACTTTCTTGTTTAAGCCCTTTAATGGCTTTTCACTACTCCTAGAATCAAATTCAGACTCTACCATGTCCTGAGGCCCTATATAATCCGGCCTCTCCCAACCTCATTTCACATTCTCTCCCTCAGTCACTGTGTTCCGGTCAAACTGGCCCTCTTTCTTTTTGTGAAACACCCAAAGCTCATTCTTTCACTTTTCCTGTTCTCTCTGCCCGAAACGTTTTTCTCCCAGATCATTGCATGATTGACCTTACCTTATTCAAAGTCTAGCTCAGATATCACTTCCTGAGATAAGCCTTTCTTGATTGTCTCTCCGATGAAGTTTTCTCCTCCCACCAAATCACTACCTAATACATCCCTATTTTATTGTCTTTGTATCACTTATCACTACCTAAAATTATTTATTAACATTTATACAGTAAGTTCTCACTTAACGTTGTGGATAGGTTCTGCAACTTGAAGCGAAACCAGTGTTACCATAGGTTAACTGATATAAATAAAAATTAGGTTCCTAAGGCACCTCATCAACATTATAACAAACCACGTTTATTCGAGGACCTGCTGAACTTGTCTTGGTCTGTCTCTCCAGCTAGAATTTGAGAGCAGGGACTTAATTTCTGTTCTTCGCTGCTGCCCAGTACAGCTGCCCAGCACATATATAACCTCTGTATTCTAAATAATAGTCAGTATCTGTTCAGTATGGCCTAGGGGTCAGAGTACCAGTGAATCCGTGTAGTGGGTAACTGGATTGCAAGTCTCCTGAGTGGGTGTTCACTGGGCGCAGGCAGTGCTGCTGCTCTGTGGGAGGTGGCACTTCCTACTAAGTCTGAATCAGCAACTCGGTCTGAAGTAACATTTTATAAACAGAAAGCTAAATTGTGATGTTTTGATTGTTGGATTCCTAGATCTTTCTGTGAACACCTGAAGGATCTCTAAATAATGGTTCAAAAAGGAAGGCATTATCTAAACTTTTTTCCTGTCATTTCCTACCTGCTATTATTCTGTCCTTAGGGCCATGCTGTCTAGTTAAAGAAAATATAGAGTGAACTTTTTTACCCGACTGATGTAAAGCAGCTACTCTGCATCTCAGATATAAAGAACGTCTAGAGCTGACTACACTTCTGATTACGAATACTATGTTAGGTAAATTCCGCTCCTGTGATGGCATTTTTTCTCCCTCTTTGTCACACTTGGTGTGCTAGGTTGAAATAATCTGAGGTTTTGATTATATTGAATCATCAAGGATACTGAGAATTATGAAAATTGGCTGATGGCCACAGAAGTTAGAGCAAACAGTTTAATTATCATGTTGTAGGTAAAATGTTAGAAACTGTTTTCCATTTCGTGAACTTGGCACTGAGCAGAGCTTGGTGCAGTGTTGGATCCAAGGGAAGCCGGCACTCAAGTCATGATCCGACTCAGAGGCACTTTTTTGGAGGCATACATTTTCTTTGTTGTCATACATTCTCTCCTTTCCTTCTCACCACACATGATGACTAAAAAATAATACATAACAAAGAAAACAAAAACAAACAGACGGTGAGGAGGCGTGAGCAGGATGATGAAAAACCCGGCTCCCAACTGAATGGGAATTTTTGTGTATTGGGATCCTGGTTTTTTTCCCCTAGTTTTTTTTCCCCTCAATATGTTTTATTTTGTTTTCCTCAATACTGCCTTCTTAATGTGAGCCAAATACCTTTTTTCCCCTAATTGATCCTAAAGCTTTTCACTATTAATGGTAGTAAAAGCAGGATTTTATTTCAAACAAACCAAACCTAGATTGGCAAGGGTATGGGAATATAAGCACTTAATACGCTGTCAGTAGGAATGTACATTAGTATGATTTTTCCAGAGGGCAGGTTGGCAATGAGTATCATAATTTAAAATGTACATGTCATGCCCTCCAAGTAAACAAAGATGTATGCTCATGGCAGTGTTTACAATAGGAAAATCTGGGAGCAATGTGATTGAATACATTACAGTAGCAGTCCTTAGAATTTACATGGAATGAAGAACAACTTAGCTCAAAAGAGACTAGAAGTTTACTATTCAGTGAAAATTTAGACACTAAAAATGATTATTTGCTCTCTATTGCAGTGTACTAATGCTTGTGGTATATTAGTTAAAACAGGTTGTAAAATAGCATTTCTTGTACTCTAATTTGAGGAGTTTAGGGCTTTATTTTTTTGTTTCTTTTGGAGAGGGCTAGATTGTTTTTAGGAAATACAGAATTGAGTTAATCGATCCCATTTGTTTAAAACATGCATACAAAACTTGCCTCTGTGTGTGTCTGTGTGTCTGTGTGCATACGTAAAACTTTACAGGGATGTACTCCAAA